TTTTTCAACAATGAATTTTTGTTTTATCGATTAATAACGTACGAAATGATTTTTGGAAAATTTTCTTCGTTTGAACGTTCGTTTAAGGTTCGACTATGATTATCAAATCTCTCGAAACACCGTAGAATGTTCAATTTTAAAAGTAACTTCTTCAATTTTTGGATAATCTGGGTAACGTGTTAGTGTTGACGATACACTTTCGAGTATAGACGTTAAAGTTCATAGAGTGGTCGGGGGCTACTAGCTAGCCTATGTCCACCCTGTACACACTCAGCCTTCTTGTAACACTTGTATACATTAGAATCAATTAGAATTTCAATACAATAGACTGAATAATAATTCATTTTAACTAATACCTATTAGAAATTTTCCTTTTAAAACAAATATAAATCATTTTACCAATTACTGGTACTTGCTAGACATTTAATATCAGACTTTAAATATTCTCCTTTCGGTTCTTTTAAATACAATCAAATAATTTCTTCAATTATCGATACTGACTTGGAATACTCCGCTTCGAATAAAATATTTCGAAATTATTTTGAAGGTTTAGGGAAATAAACATTTGAATTTTAGTCATCGTTGTTCTTCAGACTTGTCGAATAGGATATTGAAATGACTTTGAGCAATTGAAATTAATTTGAAATTTTTCGTTCAGTAGTTTTCATATATTTTCTCTGATATTGAATTTTGTTTACTATTAATTTACCATCCAAGGATTTGCATGAATTTCATGTTAAGTAGTTAGTTGATTTATTATTGTATATTGTGAGCTGATTTGGAACGAGTGCACTATGCCCACCTTAAATTAAACCGTCTCAGTTGTTTACCGTAATTAATAATCTATTTTCGGAGTTTATACGAGAATTTTTGAATTTTAGTAAATACTAGAGTCAGTACATCGCGTATTGAAATAACATCTTCATCCCTAGTTCGTTTATTATTGAATATTTTTACGCGTTTAACTTATGCTTCTCCCCAATTCTCGTCGCGTATTTTATTCAAATTTTCTTATGTTCTAGAATCGAGAAAGATATGAATTCGCGTTTTTTCTTTTGATTCTTTCAACTTTTCAATTGCATTACGCATTGTTGCAATAATTTCTATCGTTACATTTCATTCTAATTGTTTAGCAGCTTTTCTGCTGCTATCGACCCTACATTTTACTGACACTTGTGGAATCGACCCCACATTTTTTTTTTTTTTTACGTGGATGTAAGCCTACCCTACATGTTAACAGTGTCAGTAACATTTTACTGTCACTTGTCGAATCGACCCTACATTTTACAGGCACTTTCGTTCCGGCCGTATGCCAAAATTGGCCTTATTTTAACATCGTCTCAAATTTCCGAATTTTTAAATATTTCAAATGTTGGATTATTTCTAACAAAACCCTATGGAAATAATCAAGTGAGTACAAAAATGTCTCTGCGTTATTTTAAACAAAGGCACTAGGATTTCCACCAGATGTGTCTGGTATCCGTCTTCGTGTCACGCACTGCACACTGCCATACCATAAAGAAAACAGTTCCTAGGTATAAGTGGACCCCAACTTTCTTTTTGGGTGCCCAGTAATAGTCCTTTAGAACATTCAAAAGAGTAAAGACGTTTCCTCTGAGTCCGTCAATAACTAGTATATCACAAGATAAAAAGACTATTTCATTTTCATAACTCATTTCCAATATCAAATATCAAATTTTTCAGTTTTCAAATATTGAAAGTTCTTAATTTTCAAATATCGGAATTCTTCAATATCTAACTCATCCATACTAAACATCTCTCCCTCGTCCCCACAATTCCACAAAGAATCATACCACCACTATCCAGCTTTACCGAGGATCTACGGGAGCGCGAGTCCCGCGAATTCAAACACGGATGAAACGCAAGTAAATTTGCGTATCGCAAATGGCGCAACGCAGATTGTATCGATTGCTCGGTGCAGCGTCGTCAATTAAATAAGCGACGTTGGTCATTAGGGCGTCTACCGGGTGTCGAAAACGTGGGCACCCCGTGGCCGTACAAAGGAGGAATCGGCGATTGTTTTCAGATCGAAATGATTGTTGCGCGGGGATCTAGAGTAGCCTGGAAGCGGGGGACAACGATGAAGGGCTCGATTTTCACCCCTTTCACCACTAGGGTTACTCCCCTTTCTCTTTTCCTCCCGTCGATTTTATCGCTTCGCTCCCCTTGCCGGAAATAAAAGGGAAATAACGTTTCGCGTGCCACCCACGCGAGGAATCCCTTTGAATTTTTCGACGTTAGCTGACTTTTTGCTTCGCGAACTCTCATCAAAACGCTTCCACGTGGAAATGAGTTTGAAACGTGTTGACTTGGAATGGATGACCTTTCATTTTTAACGAAAATTCACTACAGAATTGATTTTTTATACAGATTTATGACAAAGGAGGCGCGGGTTGAATTTTTCAACGAGAAAATTTGCAGTGTTTCTCCACGAAAGTTGTAGCATTATTTATGAAGCAAAGTTACTAGTGCTGTCTCATAGATGATTCCAGTCTGGAACTTTCGTTCAAGTTTAATGATGCCTGAGATACTTCTGATAGTAGTTCGAGCTGGTACGTTATTTCAGAGAGCAAGTCGAGTGTAAGTATACTTTCACCTGTATTCCATCTAACTTCGCCAAGGAGCTCCTTGTTACTCTAAGAAGTATTTCCTTAGATTTTCCTATTCTGTGAAGCAACAAATTCATTTGATCGCATGAAGTAACAAAATTTTGCAACGAAAAAATCGGTAACCAAAAGTAAATTTCTTCATTTTTCTGAATAACAGATTTACAGATTCAATTAAAATGGCACTTTTGCAATTGAAAAAGTTTCCATAGAATCAGTTCCTCAATTTTTCTAAATACTGCATCTATAATACTTTTGCAATGAAAAGTTTTCAATAGAATCGGTTCCCCAATTTTTCTAAGCCTGTATTTATGACATTTTTACATTCCATAAAAACTGGCACTTTTGCAATAAAAAGGTTTGCACAGAATCAGTTCCTCAATTTTTCCAAGTAGGTACCGCATTTATGGCACTTTTGCAAGGAACAAGTTTCAATAGAATCTATCTGTGACATTTTTGCACTCGATAAAAATGGCACTTTTGCAATGAAAAATTTTCAACAGACTCAACTCCTCGGTCTGTTTAAGCACCGCATATACGACATTTTGCAACGAAAAAAACAGTAGCATAATCATTGTCCTAATGCCAAGATGCCAGGAACGTGGTACCAAAGGGGGCGAGAGGGTTACTATTTAGCTCCCTCGGCTGCGACCCCTTATTTGCAAAGTTCATCGAGCTGTGCTCCTCGCGCGCGATGCACTCTCCTGTAAGCGATTTCTCCTTCGGCGGGCATCGAACGTCGCTCAAAAGGCAATTAAAACTTCACGTACGCTTTGCTGGCGCACATCAAACGGCGATTTTGCGTGTCGAGATTTCGTTCCACCCTCGAAGACACCCCAGCAACTGCGTAGGACACATGATCTAGAGAATAATCGAACTTCGGACGGTTTCTTACGAGGGCACAGCGGAAACCTCTCTAATTCTACTTTTGGCGGCACTATTCACACGATTGTCGTGGTCGCCCCTTTCAGCGAACGGCCACATTTGTTGGCTACAATGACGCGAATATAATATCGAGAAGCAGTGGCGTAGGAGCTTGTACAATTGCAACCTCGAATTTCAATGAATGTTTTCGAATCTCGTTTGATTACCGTACACGAACATTCTTATGGAATAAATATGACGTAAATACAATATGTAACAAAAGCTGCCGAACTCAGATTGCAAATACGTCTGACTTAAGCTCTGACATTTCTTTCCTTTAATTTTAAACGTTTTAAACATTCAACGTCATTCGGCAGAGTTGCCAACTAATGAAGTTATCAGCCATCTATTTCAACGTGATAAATTATTAAAGTCGTAGGCTCGAAACTGTTGGAATTTAAAATGTTGAAATGTGCAATGTGGAATATGACGTTTTAAATCTAACACGAGGAATGCAATGTTTCGTTGTATTTGTACTTGTGTAAAATGTAGAACGATGAATGGGAAAAGTGGAATATAGAATTTTCTTATTTATCGATTCATTCTTTCATTAACCCCTTAAGTCCGTTCGAATTAATTCGAGCGCGCACGTTCGCTGCGCGAAACGTCGATCGATTTATCACAACTGATAAACGCAGGAAAAGAATTCCCTTTACTCCGACTTTGTATCCTGACGGGACATGGGTTTTCTAGTTCTGTGGTTTACTCTCAGGTAACCGAATATTCCTTTACTCTCTCCTCTTCTTGCGGATGCCTAGTGGGTGACTCGTATTACCATCGCCGGCTATATTGTGTCGAAATGCAACGAAAAGCGAAAGCAACGTCGTGTTGTGCACCCGCAAAGCTTCGAAACGCACGTACACTTGATCGATTTTCATACGAAACAAAAGGAAAACCAAATATCGTAGCTACGACGGTCACTAATAACCGGAAGTAGTTGATGCGACTATAGATAACCAATTAAAAAACAAAAACCAACGATCTATTTTTCTTTGTACAGTAGACTCCCGTATTACGCGGTTAATACCTTACGCGTTACAGGAAATCTAGAAATATAGAAAAATTCTCGTGTAACGCGAATAATCTAAAATATCGTGTTTGGAATGATTATTGCCATGCCAACTTTTATTTTCTATGTTCTATCAAATAGGACAGTTTCTCTTTTAAATAAGTGACATATATTCGCTGTTGGGTTAAAAAAACATATTACTAATGTATGTGATAAACGAACAATCAACAAAAAACAGAAGAAGTCGGTAACGATGAAGAAAACGGTGTAATGCTCAACTAGAGTAGATTTAATTTTTAAATGCGGGGAATTCCTGTATTTTATTATTTAGCGCGTTGCACGAGGAATCGCGTTATACGAAAACAGTAGTCGCTATATCTTTGGCACGTTATAGGAATTCGCGAGTCTACTGTATTCTCAGAACGAGAGAAATCTCATACCTTTTATTCAACGACTGCCTAACATCCACTGCTCCAAATCGTTGCTCATCAGGATCGTCGATGTAATTCCCCTTCAGTTCCTTCCTCTTCAACGTCAAGATGCTACCTCGACTTTTGTACATCTTCTTCTCCATGAATTTCTGCGACTGGTAACCGCACATGCTCGTCGTATTCGACAGATACTGGGCTTCCAACACGAAAATGAACGCTTTCAGGGACCTGCACGTCAATCGAACCACACCATGCGAACAATAATCTTCCTGGATCACTTCCATATAGCCACCCGGTAGCTTGACACCCCTCAGAATCTTTAGAAACGGCGATTCGGTCCTCTCGAGGATGTTCCTCGTCAACGAGACCCTCGCGATCGCCATCAGCAATAGCAGAAGACTCGTCAGGGTCGTTGATCCTGGCGCCATGATCGTTGATCATCACAGAGGTCGAATGAGTTCCTACTCTCGAGATTAGCGTCTTAAAATTAACCTCCTCGAGACGATGGAGGAGTCAAGTGTACCGATAACGTGGGCCAATTTCCCTCTGCTTCTTGTTTCTGATTCTGATACGCGTTGGCCAAGAAAGCGGCTCCTCTTTTGCCTCCTTCAAGCCGCCACTCAGACCCTTGAACACCACTTTGTCCTCCTGTTTTCTGTTCTCCTTCTGTCAGGCCTGTTGAGAAATGGTGAGAAATGTAGAGAAGAGAGCGAAGGATGTGAGAAGAAAGTTTCTGAAAGTAGGCCGAAATTCTCACGAAACAGGGCTATGTACAAAGGGTGCTATAGCGAAGTTGAAAGGCTGATAAGAAGTAAAGTTATATACAGGGTGACAAGATCGTCTTGTCTGATATTTCTGTATTTTGTTTTGTGTCTTAATGAACTTTTAGCAGAAATCATTTTGTATAACTATGCTATGTATTTTTGTTCGATCAAACTCTTAAACAATATAATGTCGAGAAAGTTAACTGTCGATATTTTAATAATAAATTAACGATTCAAAGTTGGAACGAATATGCTGAAAATAATCGAACTTTCTGACGAGACAGATCTAATGAAATTTTAGAAATAAGAATTATTCTAATTAATACTCTATGTAGAATTATATTAGAAATATTTTAATAATTACTCTAATTATTACTCTAATAAAAATTATATTCACAGTACAGATCTAACAATTATCCCATACAGTCTAAAATCACTCTAGGTCTATTCTAATTATTACTCTACACAGAATTACATTAGAATTGTTCCAACAATTATTCTAATTACTACTCTAATAAAAATGATTATATCTTCATGTTATCCTAAAATCATTCCAGAAAACAGCTTAAAGCACACGTCAATGGTGAAATACCACGACACCCTAGCCTAAACGAATTTACCTACTTAAAGACATCTCTAATCCACTTTTGCTACACATAGAAATAAACGGTGTCACGAATACTCTAACTCCTTTCAAACGCTTTCAACAAGCCATACAATCATCTTTTACCACGAAAGTGCAATTAAATTACAGGTAGCATTGTAAATGTCACCTTGTCAGTTGCTCCAGCTTTTCTTCCTTCAATTCGACCGACTTCCAATGGATTCTCGCGAGAACACGGCCACCAAGTCGGATAATCCTGGGAAGACTGAAGAGATACGATTATTTGCCGATGAAAATCGCGGCTTTCTTTATTTTCGGCCCTCGCCGGCTCCTGGTATCCTCAGGTTTGTTGCCACAACGCGGAGACCCTGGTGAGCGATCAATTGGCCACGGCCAAGTTCCAGCCACTCTAGACAACTCTGGATCACTCGTAGACCAAGGACGTCGATTAGAATAGTATCGAGAACACGCGTTCGCGTATCATTGACCAATTTCCAATCGTCCGCCTCTTTCTTCTCCGCTCTTTTAATTTTAGGAACCGCCAGCCTCTTCGCGATTTTAGAATACGAAAATTCTTCTCAAGTCAGCTTGGACCGTTTTTCTCACAGTTTGAAATTTCTTCTTTTTTTTTTTTTACAGTTTATTTATCTTCTTCTCTTTTTTTTGTCGGTGTTTTCAACCGATTCTGATTTTTCTTTCTCGGTTCAGATTTCGAAGATTTGAGAATGTGTTGAATGGTGAATTTGAGAATGAACGGCGGTCTCGTTCCTGTTTTATTTCGGGGATAAGATACACTAATGACGTTACAGTAGATTCAGGTCTCGAAGATTGAGCGATGCTCGACTATTTTTGAATCGGCTTCTCTGCGATTCTTCTTTAACTATTCTTCGGTTCTTCGTAGAAGTGTGTTTCTTTTCTTTGGTAAATTCCGTGAGTCTCACGCGGAAAACGATCAGGAAGATCGTTCACTTACGATATGTATTCAATTCTTTGGAGGTTTCTCTGTTTTTATAAAAATATCCGCGACACATGGCCTCGTATACTTCTCTTACGAAAATATATAAATAAGTTACTTCTGTACATTCAATAAATTACTCTCAAAAATATAAATATCGAATTCCTCACAATCAGTGATCTCTTCCTTTTTTCTCCCCTATTTTTTGTACATTTTTAACGACTTAATTTAAATTACCTCTGCCAATCGCACGATCAGCCTGTCATTTGAACAAATTTTCGAAAACTTCTTCCCCCAAAAGGCACGGATTCGTCTAATTCAACTCCATCAGCCGCTGTCGACCAACATTCGCTGGTGTTTCTTCGCGATCACGAGCAATCTTCTCATTTTAAACAAGCACATTCTGCGCTCACTAATACCCGACACTTCTTCGCGTCTCTGATAAAATGTCAGATACGTTTTCTTCTTATCCTCATCGTCTCGTTGATTCTCCAGTTCCTCCTGCGAAATGCACGAATTCCAGCTAGGCAACGCTCTTCTGCCGGGTGGAAAATAAAAGTTCGCCAAAGTGTCGGCACGCCTCGCCACGATAAATCAGCTCGAAGAGCAGCCAGGGCCATTCATCAAGATCCCAGGCGGGCTTTTTCGTTTATCTCCTGCTCGCAGTTCGCATGATAACTCGAGGAATTGAAAAACGTCCGTACGTGTTCTCGAATTTCGCGGCAGATAAAGGAGCACCACCTGGCGCGTAACACACTCCACTTTTCCGCGGGCAAAAATCGAACTCACCGATTCATCTTTGCGGATCGTAAAAAGGGCGAAGTAAGCGCCGGAAAATACGATGAAAAATTTCGAATCTACCTTACGTTACAAGTTTCGAACTCGTTCCATTTTTCATTTGGAACTTTCGCGGGAAATAAACCGGGCAAAAAAAAAAGGGAAAATCACACACTCGCTCTAGAAATTAATCGTTATCTTCCTCCTTTTTTTTTTTTTTTTTAATGCGAAACAGCGCGATGAAAAAGTTTCAAACTTCCATTTTTCACTCGAGCTTTCACCGCAGCAGAGAATAAACAAAAAAAATATGAAAATCACACGCTGACGTTGAAAATTAATTCTTCCCTATTATCTCTCTTTTTTTTTTTCACACGAGAAATAACGCGACGAAAATGTTTCGAACTTCCACTCGTTCCATTTCTCGTTGAAACACTTTCACTGGAAAATTAAGAACGAAACGACGAAAAATCACAGACACTGAGAAAAAATTAGAAATTTCGTTCCCGGTTGTGGCTTTAAATGTTTCTCTATTTTTTTTTCTGTTTTATTGCGACGAGAAATAAGAGGTACGTTTGTCGGCGGTTTTTGGTGGGTTGTTGACGGAGAAAAACTAGGAGGACGATGTGTAAAACGAATGAAAGGAGCGCACTGTTTGGCGGTGTGCCCGACACTGAAGAAACACGCACTGTGACCCGCTCCTGTCGAGCATTCGTCGCCGTTTGCCACGGGAAGCAGCGTGTGCTGTCAGTCCTCTAACATTGACAGCCTAAACTGCGAATCCTATGAGCCATTGGCGTCCACGCTACCCCCGGAAGCGGTCGTCCCCCGCCATCGTTTGCCGTGTGCCACTGAAAGCAGTTAGTGCGTGGCTGCTATGGTGAAAATGGTCGTTTAAAGGTGGAGGGTGTAATGGGAATCGAGAATGCTTGAAAAATGCTGCTTCATTCGAGTGATGGGGTGCAATAGTCGGGGAATAAAATTCGGGGAGTATCTTTCTCTTTGTTGCTGGTGTTTCAGTCTGATATGCGCTGCTCGACGAAACAGTTGCAACATCTTAGAAATGAAATCGCACAAATATGAAATTTACTTGCCATATATTGAATTTGGTTGGCATTGATAGTGGCGTAACTCGAAAAATGCCAATTTTGATTTTTTTGCATAGATAGATTCTGTAGGTACAGTATTTTTATTATCTAAAATGGTACATTTCTATTCTCGTTAGTTTCATACCACAGAACAGATCTGATTGTACGATCGGTATTCAACTATCAGTCAAATGCAAATTTTAAACTTTCTGTAAAACTGAAAATCAATATATGAAATAAAGTAAAATTGAGATTCCTGTAAAATCTACATTTTTTGAGTTATGGCAATATCAATGTCAGGTAGATATATTTTTTGGGGCATTGAAAGGGAAAAATGATTAAAATTTGTTTATAAAAGCTATTATTTATTGAAAAAGGGTCATTTTTCCTCAGAGTAGCCCGAAAAACTTATACGATTTCCAAATTAGTGCAACCGCAATTTTTTTTGGCGAGCAATGTACTAGGTTTGAAATAAAGTCTCGAGACTGTGTTGATTTATTTTTTGGTCGAAGAGAAATAATCTATAAAGAGTTTATTCTACTTAATGGAATTGCCAATCGACAATTTCATCTTCAAATTTTGGAAAAGCTTCGCGTACTAGTCAAATGTGGATTTCGCATCATGGCAATGCATTTAGCCATTTTAGTGAGAGTTTTTAAATTCAAAATCCCCCTTGTATTATTTTTATTTCCTCGAATAAAATTTTCAGTCCATTTTTCGAAATTCCAAGTAACGTGACACGAGTGTTAAAATGTACACCAGATATGTTACGATTAATGGCTCCTTCTACGCTGACGTCACATTTATTTAATTTTCAAAATAAAATAAATTACTTATTTTCGAAACTTCATTGTTACACCTCGTATAACATTTTGGAGGATTGTATTTAATTCAGTCGATGACAAGGAATTTTGGAAAATTTCCAAGTATCAGTGTTTATGCATATTTCTTTTTATATTTCTTATATTTGAAAAAAATTTCAAAACAAAGGTTGCTCGACAAACACTGAAATATGCACCGTTGACAATTACGATAATAGTAATTCAAACGAAACACTTGCAGTCCCAATTGCCATTAACAAACGAACACCCCCGATGGCGAACAATCAAACTGCTCGACGTTAACAATTTAAACAGCGAATCCTACCAACCCCTTTATTCTTCGATTCTCCAGCGATCTCCAACCTCGAAGAGAAACCAATATTCGCTCTTTCGTCAAATACCTTTCCCAGATCTCTCCGCCC